ATATGTGGGTGGCTCAGTCGGTTGAGCGTCTGACTCTTGCTTTTGGCTCAGGTCATGATCTTGGGGTCGTGGGATGGAACCCCACGTCAGGCTCTGCACTGGGCGTGGAGCCTGCTTAAGATTCTCTCTCCTTCAGCCCCTCCCCCTGCTTGCTCACATGTGTGTGCTCTCTCTCTCTCTCTCTCAGAATAAAAATAAAATTAAATTAATTGGGTCCAATAGACCGTGTTTCTGGGCAGATTAAGAGCCCAGAGAAGCAGAGCCATGCCTTCCCTGTGGTAAGGGCTTCCCTGCAGGAGTTTAAAAGCAGTCTTACCAAGATAGCCCAGAAATGTTCTTCCTACAGGAAAAATAAATTCAGAGTATATTTTTAACTTTGGTCTTATAAAAGCCCAGAGTTAAATTTAGCAAGGGTTCAACTTACAAGGGATCAGGGATAAGTTTTTGGTGAAACCTATGCAATCTTGCTTTGAATTGCATTTTTTTTTTTTTTTGATATTATAAAAAGGTAGTTACTGTTTAGGGTTTGACTTTATAGTTGTCTTACTAATGAGTTCTACTTTTGTAGCAAAATACATAAAATGAGTTAATGAAGAAGGAATGTGAAGGGATCCTGGGCTGCGTCCAGCTGTGACCCCTGCTGGGCTTCTGTGGTGTCCAGGTGTGTCTCATGAGCATGTGGGGTGGACCCAACGGTGTGTATTTAGGGGGAGGACCAGACGCTCTCCTGGAGAGGGGCTCAGCATAAGCCCAAATATGGTTAAGCAAAGAAGAGTGGCTCCGTTTAAAAACTGTCATCAGAAGGGAGCGAGAGGCCAGAAGCCATATGGTGGCTCTTACCAGAAACTGCACGGGGTTCCTAGCCTCCCCTTCCCCTCTCCCGAGACTCCTGCCTCGAACCTGAGGGATTCTGGGGCTGCACATCAACACTGAAAGATCTGTTTCGCCAGACTCCACCTAAGACAACAGGGTGTTAGGTCCCCCTGCCTTGTCGCCCCTTCTGGGAGAATTTCGCAGAGGAGCCTTTAGAGCGGACCAGGGACCATGGCGTGCTTTGGGCACCGCGAGGGTTCCTCTGTGGCGGCAGCAGGCAGACAGGTGCGTGGCCATATCCCACAAAAGCCCTGGGGCTGCAGGAGTGCCTGCAAGAAAGCACCAGGGCTCCTCAGAGCGCAGCCAGCCGAGGAAGCGGCCCACCTGCTGGCTTGGCGGGGAGGAGGGGGGGTTTGCACGAGAGCAGCACCACGCACATGGCCCCTGTGAGCACTCGCCGCAGCGGGGGCCCTGCCAGGGCACGCAGGCACAAAGGGGGAGACTCCCAAGGGCCTGACTCCGTTAACCAGAAAGTGCCGCCGAACCAGAACCTCCTATCCCCTGGCATTGTGCCAGGGACGCTCTGGGGGGACGTCCCCCCACGCACGTGTGCGGTAGGGGAGGCGAGCGACACAGCCCGCGAACCCCTTCCGTGCGCGCTCTGTTCCCCTGTCCCGAGGTCAAACGTGAGAGATGCGTGACAAAAGTCTCCACTGGTGAAATAAATTAGCTTGCGCCCATCTGATGGAATGTCACGCACTGAATAAACACAGTGATATCGAGCTACCTTTAGTGACACAGAAATACGTTTGTAATATAGAGCGGAGTAAATAAAAGCGGATTACAGATTGTGGGGGCGATTCCGCAACTGTATGCATTTGTCAGCACTCGCGAAGCTGTTTATCACAAGAAGTTAATTCCACCGTGCGTAAATTACACCTTAGAAAGAGCAGACTATAAAATTATATTTGCGGAAGGATCCACTTTGTGTGTGCATGTGCGTGTGCGCGCACGTGTCTATGTGTGCGGGCAGGGGCAGGGCCCTGCACCCAGGATTAACGTGGGCTACCTCTGTTATAATTACAGGTGACTTGCACTTACTGTTTCCTCTTTTTGCTTAATTGTCTTTTCAAATTTTTCTCAGATGAATAGGGATTGCTTTACTATTTTAAACTATGACCAGGGAAGCACAAAAGAATATTCATGTTCAGGGAACAGCTAACCCGGAGTAATGAGGGGAAGGGTGGTTGTGCTTTGCCCTGTGTATCATGGGAGTTCCAACAGGAGGCTGGTTATATGAGGAACCCGCAGTAGATGCTCAGTAAATGTTTGTCACATGAGTGAGTGATTAGAGTGGGTCATTTTATCACAAGTCTCTAGTTTAATAATAACCATGCCACTCTCGCTTTAGGCCCAATGTATTAGCAGTGCACACTCATAAATATTTTCATCTCCATTAGAGTGACAGCCAACTAATTGCTTTCAAACCAAACAGTTACTGTAGGCACAAAGTGGAGCTCTTTCCTTTTAACTTTCCTCTTCTTATCCTCACCCCATCTCCTCTTTTATTAATTGAGACTGGGAAATAAATAACCACAAATGTCTTGGTTTCACACAATTGTTAGGAAGACAGCTTAGGTGTACCAAGTAGAAAGGCAGAAAACAAAACAGGAAAACCAGTATTTTTCCACAGACCTGGTGACAGCCTCCTTTGTTGAGAAATAGCCAGAAAAACAACCACAAGACCAGTCTTCTGTCTTCGGAAGACACTGCTTGCTTAGTGTGTGAGATAGGAGCAGCCCCTTCCTGGAAACCTGCTGGCTTGATAGTTAGCCTGGGGGGGGGGGGGGGGGGGGGGGGGGGTGGCGGGGCGGGGGAAGGAGCAGAAGAGGTGGGTATGGGTGTAAGCGTGTGTGTGTGTGTGTGTGTGTGTGTGATGGGGGAGGGTGGATATGGTGTGTGTGGTGTGATGTGATGTGTCTGGTGTTGGGGGTGTGGTGTTGGGGGTATGTGTATATGTGGTGGGGGTGGGGGTGGTGTGTTTCTGTTAGGTACCACATGGATAGGATCAAGATTACATGTTTGGATACATAGAATTTGGGGTCCAGCTCAGAAAGCTCATGAACATATTAAAATACTGGGGGTATTTAATGTAACAACTAAACCAGTTCTAGTTTTTTCTAACAGCTGCTAAAACCTTACACACAGTTTAGATCCAGAAAGGTCTTTAAACCATATACTTTAGCTCACTCATTTTGCAAGTGAGAGAATTGCAGCCCAGAGAGTAGAAGGGGGCTGCCCAACATCACACAGGGACCTGGCGACCCTGCCTGTTGGAATGTTGAACAGGACGAGGCCTTTGGAGACAATGTCCGTGTGCTTCTGAATAAAGTTGGGGACATCCCTGAGCACCTGCTCTGAACAGTGCATTCCTCCCGAAAGGCCTTCAGCAATCACATTTCTCTTTGAGCTTTCCCTTTGCAGATGTAGCCAAGTTAGGGCCCCCAGGCCTGGCCAGGCTCCATTTGCTAAATAAGGCATTACTTGCAGAGAAAGAGTCCTCATCAAAGACATGTTAGTGACAAGCCAGAGGATTTTTTTTTTTAAGATTTTATTCATTTATTTGAGAGAGAGAGAATGAGAGAGAGAGAGAGCACAAGAGGGGGGAGGGTCAGAGGGAGAAGCAGACTCCCTGCTGAGCAGGGAGCCTGATGCGGGACTCGGTCCCGGGACTCCAGGACCATGAAGGCAGTCGCTTAACCAACTGAGCCACCCAGGCGCCCAAGCCAGAGGATTTGACGACCAAGAATGGATCCTGCTAACACCATGAGTAAAGGGAAACCTGCTGTAAACCCAAGCAACCGGAGAGTAGACAAGTTGGGAAAGCCACAAACAGGCCTTTCGTGCATTAAGCCAATGATTCCTCACCCTGGAACCCCAGCCACACTCTTTGTGCTTACAGCCTCCTTCAACCGGTGACTTTGCAGCCTCGTCTCCCTTGGTTTCCCACCGTGCCATTCTCTTCCACACCTCTGTGCCTTTGCACAGCCTGGGTCCTCTACCAGGTGCACTGCTTCCCACATCATCCATCTGGGTGAACTCTCCCTTGAAAACTCAGCTCAGCCGTCACCCTCTTTGGGGAGGACCTGTCGCTTCCCCCCTACCCAGCAGAGTTGGCACCTCCTTCCCTCCAGCCTCCCACAGACTCCCCTGTGGGTTTGGTGATCTCATTTTGCCTGTCTGGAGTTCCTTAAAGGAAGGACTCATCCTGTTCATCTCCAAAACCTAAGCCTTAGGCCTGCAGTAGATGTTGGCTGTCCACAGATAAAAGGCACATTTGTTGTCTGTTACTAAAGAAAAAATCACCTCTAGGGCGCCTGGGTGGCTCAGTTGGTTAAGAAAAAATCACCTCAAATTTAGCAGCTCAAAATAATACAGAATCACAGTTTCTGTGGGGGCAGAGTGCTGGCATGGTTTAACTAGGGCCTCTACTTAAGGTCTCACAAGACGAAAATCCAGGTGTGTCATCCAGGCCACATCCTCACCCAGAGACTCAACTGGGGAAGAATTGCTTTCAAATTCACTTAGGTTGTTGGTAGAATTCATTTCCTTGTGGTTGTAGGACTGAGGACCCAGCTTCTTTTTAAGATTTTATTTATTTATTTGACAGAGAGAGAGCACAGGTAGGCAGAGTGGCAGGCAGAGGGAGAGGGAGAAGCAGACTCCCCACTGAGCAAGGAGCCCGATGTGGGGCTCGATCCCAGGACTCTGGGATCATGACCTGAGCCGAAGGCAGACGCTTAACGACTGAGCCACCCAGGTGCCCCAGGACCCAGCTTCTTGCTGGATGTCAGCCCTTTGCCATGCAGGCTTCCCGACAAGCCTTCTTCCTTCATCAGTCCCACAGAGTCTCCCAAGCAAGACTGCCAGCAAAGCAGAGTCTTAGATAATGTTACATAGTCACTGAAGGGACATCCTCTTACTCTCGCCATATTTCATTGATTAGAACCAAATGATACATCCCACCCACAGCAAGGGAAGAGGATTCTACAAAGACACAAATCGAGGAGTCGTGGGGGGCCATCCTAGGTCTGCCCACCACACAAAGAATACAGTAAATCCTGCTGCTAAATTCTTTACTTTGTTATAATTTCCCTTTTATTCCTCCTTTGGGTTCTCTCTTGCAGGTCGCTTCACTGCTATTGGCAGATCACTTCTGGAAGAAGGTGCAGCTCCAGTGGCCCCAGGTTCTGGGAAAGGAGAATCCATTTAACTCTCAGATTGAACAGGTGTTTGGAGACCAAGGGGGCCACTGAGTGCCTCCAGGATACGCACTCCTGGAAAGCTCAGGGAGGCAAGAACTTGGGTAAATTCATTCAACAAATGGTTCTGGGGCTGCCATTTTGCAGGCCCATAGGACCCTCTTTAGCAGCAACTTTGCAAAGTGCTTTTCTCTCATTCTGGAGTCTATCTGAATGACAGCGTGATTCTGAGTGTTTCAGGGAGCAGTTCCCTCCATTTGTCCCTAAAATCACCTTTAATAAAGTGTTGTGGATGCCATTCCAAGCAGAGAGAGTATCTGTGCCCTTTAATAGCTAATTGTTCTAAAAACAAAGTCCATCGATGCTCGGCAACTTAGCCAGGGTCTTGGTGCGCCAGGACTGATCCTCAGTCTGTTGCTGCTTCTCTAAGACGGCCAGCAAGCTGGGGCTGCCCCTGGGAAGGCTGTCGGCTGGCTGCCAAGGATTCTCACGAGAGAACACAAAACTGGGAACACAAAATTAGGTACAAACTTGAATGTTTATTTAGAACGAGAAAAGAAATCACAACAAATGACAAATTTTTTAAAGTTGACAAATAGCATAAGCCCCACAAAACCCCAATGACTGAAAAAAACATGACAATTTGTCTTTCTTTAAAAGGTTTTCTTACGTTCTTTGGCTGCATAATCTCATCATCTTTTCCTATAACAATGATTTGGTGATATCATGGTCTACAGAAAGGACAGAAAAGTAAAATGTGTTGCTTTTTATTGATAATTTAGAAGAGTTTCTTTCAGCTGCATAACTCGTTGGTAAAGTCATGTGAATTTTTTTTTTATTCTTATGTTAATCCCCATACATTACATCATTAGTTCTAGATGAAGTGTTCCATGATTCATTGTTTGTGCATAACACC